AGAGCATTGTGATGTTATTTTATTGCAGCGATATCTACACTATAGATATCGCTTGATCTTATCCAAGCAATATCTCCTGTGGGAGCCAGTTTTGGATGATAATATCCTCATCTGTCCTGAAATTTCTTGATTCTGACGATGTCGGTTGAGCACCCCGCCGACCTGATTAACATGGTGTCACTATAAAAATGGGTTTTTATGTGGCGATCCGACAGCCTAAATTGTCAGTGAAACAAATTCCCTGAATTATGATAAAGTATACAATTATAACACCAATCTGAGATTTGTAGTTATCATGATGCTGCAACAAGGGAAACAGTTTTTGTCCTATTCGCCCAATAGGATAAATTTCTCATTTGGCAAGACAGCCAAACGCAACTGTTTATTTTCGAAAACACGACACATGTATGAACAGTGTGCAATCACTTCATGGCTTTACTAGAACATTGAATATGTAATAATATTAACGACTTTTGAAATATTGAGTGAGTGAGTGAGTATGGTTTTACGCCGCTTTTAGCAATATTCCAGCAATATCACGGCGGGGGACACCAGAAATGGGCTTCACACATTGTACCCATGTCGGGATTCGAACCCGGGTCTTCGGCGTGACGAGCGAACGCTTTAACCACTAGGCTACCCGACCGCCCCTTTGAAATATTGAGAGTCACACGTAAACAGTTGATTAAATTCGTCTCCAATTATAGCAATTAGCAGTAGAATTACATAATTCACACAGGTGAAACATTTTGGAAAGTTCGACCGACAAAGAGTCAATTGGTAGATCATGATGTTATTACTTATTTTGAATAAATATAAGATTTTGGGATTGGAATAAAATTAAATACCGGATGATTCTCAAAATGGTTTTGGAAAAAACTGATGAAACATTCTTCATTGACAGATTCTTAATTTTGTGACAAGTTTGGTCAGTGTTTACTTTTTCCTTTATCATTTATTCTGGTTCGCATAGATAATGTCGAAACAGTCATCATGTTAAGATAGACACAATTTTATGGATAACAACTTCTTTAATACTGTAAAAAGCGACGTTTCGGTATAGATCCTTATACCGTTGTCAAGCAAGACAACGGTATAAGGATCTATACCGAAACGTCGCTTTTTGGTCCTCATATTTTGCACAGAACAAATACATACCCACTATTTGTTCAATTTTTACAACTTTTGAACTTGGATTTGATATTTTGTACTCATAATCTATATCCTCGGGGCTCGCTTTTCGGTAAACCTACACTTACCCCTGGATCCATTCGCGGGGTTTTCGCTATCTTAGATAACCTGCCCTTGATTTTCATTAACATTTTACCGACCATTCAAACGTCGACTTAAGCAATGGGTAAGGGAGGTAATTCGTATTGCCTCGAAACCAAAGCCACAGCCAAATATGATGGACATCCTTTCGATAAAAATGCGCTTCAGTCAGTTTTTACATGTTGAATTCGCAAACTCCTTCGTAATCAATGGGACTGTCCGCCATGTAGTTGATATCGCCAACCAAGGGTTGTCCCCAAGGCTGGTTTGTAACTCGCATTCTGGTTGGTACGTTAGACGTAGTAGCCTAGCCAGTCATATTGGAAGGCTGGTTTGTAACTCGCATTCTGGTTGGTACGTTAGACGTAGTAGCGTAGCCAGTCATATTGGAAGGCTGGTTTGTAACTCGCATTCTGGTTGGTACGTTAGAGGTAGTAGCGTAGCCAGTCATATTGGAAGGCTGGTTTGTAACTCGCATTCTGGTTGGTACGTTAGACATAGTAGCCTAGCCAGTCATATTGGAAGGCTGGTTTGTAACTCGCATTCTGGTTGGTACGTTAGACGTAGTAGCGTAGCCAGTCATATTGGAAGGCTGGTTTGTAACTCGCATTCTGGTTGGTACGTTAGACGTAGTAGCGTAGCCAGTCATATTGGAAGTCTGGTTTGTAACTCGCATTCTGGTTGGTACGTTAGACATAGTAGCCTAGCCAGTCATATTGGAAGGCTGGTTTGTAACTCGCATTCTGGTTGGTACGTTAGACATAGTAGCGTAGCCAGTCATATTGGAAGGCTGGTTTGTAACTCGCATTCTGGGTGGTACGTTAGACGTAGTAGCGTAGCCAGTCATATTGGAAGGCTGGTTTGTAACTCGCATTCTGGGTGGTACGTTAGACGTAGTAGCGTAGCCAGTCATATTGGAAGGCTGGTTTGTAACTCGCATTCTGATTGATGCGTTAGTGGCGTAGCCAGTCATATTGAAAGGCTGGTTTGTAACTCGCATTCTGATGGGTACATTAGACGTAGTAGCGTAGCCAGTCATATTGAAAGGCTGGTTTGTAACTCGCATTCTGGGTGGTACGTTAGACGTAGTAGCGTAGCCAGTCATATTGGAAGGCTGGTTTGTAACTCGCATTCTGATGGGTACGTTCGACGTAGTAGCGTAGCCATATATTGACTGACTGAAAAAAGGGCGGGTAATTTGAGATTGCGAGAACCGCAGGACTGGAACAAGGGGTTAGTGTAGATTTACCGACACGCGAGCCCTGGAGATGAAGAGGAGGTTTTCCTGACATATACAGCTAATATAACTTTATGATACTGTAGAGGATACAAGTGCTAAGTCACAACATTAATATATAGGTGGAATAACTGGAAGACAAATGCGGAATAGTAATGGAAGCTGTGACAGGATTGGCTGACCTTCATTTCATCTGGTGAACTCCAGAACATGTTCCTTCTCGAGATACAGAAATCAGATCCGCTTCTCTAGATCTACCGAGAATTTAGATGTAGCATCACTAACCGACTTATGACACACCACAGCTCAACCCGTTATTGACCGAGAGGTATCGGATTGGAGCAAAAGATCTTATTAAATTTGATTGAACCATAAACATAAAACTTAAGAACTCATATGAAACACTTTATCCTAATTTCTAACCACCTGGCTTTGTTTTCTTCAAAAAGAAGAGTGTTTTAAAACAAAGTTTACAACACTTTCCATACAAAAATGGTCCAAAACTGATAATCTGAAAGGAATTTGCGAATAAGCTTTATAGTCAGTATCTGCTTAACAATCTCTGTCTTATGTGTGCAGGGAAGTTGTCTATGCCAGTTTCTGCATCATAATTAGTAGCAGAAATGCTGATGTTGGGTTTTGGCATTAATAAATAACTATCGATAAAATAACAAGAACCTTGTTTTCTTTCAAAGATTCCGAATGTTTGTTAGTTTGTTGCTCAACGCGACACGCTGGGGCCTGTAAATCGTCGAGTTATATAATATTCAGGTTTTGAACACAAATGTTTAAATGGTGGGTTTGGGCTTCGGAAGTTCCGTCCATCCAATTTGAAAGTAAGCTTACATACCACATACTCGGTTACCATAGATACTTAACGTGGGCATAATGATGCAATGTTTTATGCCAAGTCGTATATATATGTACGTTTTACTTCTCCTTCTATTGTCACTGTTACATCATAGGCATTATGACGCCACAAATACTACGTTTGTGCGTCGCCTAGGACTACAATATAAGTTAAAGTTTTAATTACACCTGAAGAGCCGTTGAACGGCGAAAGATCTTGTGTGGAGTTTTGACAAGCACGAATAATTGGACTCCATCTCTGTCAAAGGTCACTTTGTCCAAACTAAAATGCAAATCTGAAAAAAGTCATCCGTGAAAACTCTTTCTGTGATACGCTTGACGTCCTCGTAGATAAAATCAATGTGAAAATTGTAGACATCCTCAAGGGTAAGATTTCTGCTCCACTCTTCCCTGATTTATTTCTTTATGCATACGAATCGGACTTTCTGTCGGGTTGGCAAAATCAAAACACGGGAATGTAAACTTCAGGTATATTGATGACCTAATATGGTTCAATAATGGTCAAAAAGGCAATTCCCTTCCAATAATTTACTCACTTGAGCTAGAAATAGAAGCGAACTGTGAAACCGCCTCATCCTCATCGCCGTCGTCATTGAGCGGGGTTTCACAACAAACAAACAGGATCTCGTATGCCTATGCATAACAAGATTCTAACTAACAAATAGTATTTCTATAATAATAATATGAGGCTGGACTTCAACTTTCCAAGAGCCAGTTTTCCTTTATGTCGAGCAACATTCCAACAGCTGAAGCCTTAAAGTTTGGTCTCTAAATTTCACAACTTTTGACGTACAATCATGCCTGCGTGTTCTACAACGATTTCCAAGAGAGTCAGTCATACAAGTTTTACTTAAAATTTGTTTCATCAGGGTGACATCATTCAAGACAATGTTGAAGCTTTACAAAGTGTTACCGTAGACATATGGAGGACATTTCCAAATCTGACGCATGATTGACGAACATGATGCAATTCTTTATTTTTTTCCCCGTGTGTTGCACTTGACGTGTCTTTGCATGTGTTTATGGCTGGTGCCACTGGTGGCGCCTGACATGGATGCCTTTGATGCATAGACATCGCCGGGCTGCACTCGCACATACGCCTCTGTTGCCATGTAAGGTACGGGCTCATTGTTGCTGTCTGGAACCTGGGTCGGATATGATTGCATCTGGGTCGGAGTGTAGCAATGATATGGGATTTGATTCTGGCTGTTTACAGAGAACATTTCTTTCGAATATTAAATATGTCTCGAAAACAAATTATATATATATGAAGGTATGAAAGTAAAAAAAATCTTTTATATGAAATGCTATCAATCAATAACAATGATCAACCACGCGTTCAGGTGACCGAAATAGAACAGTTATACTGAACTCTAATAATGTTATATCAATTTGTTGTGATTTTTTCATTATCATCCAATGATGTCTTTCGGTTAATAGAAAGTGCTTTATTTATTTCATTAATTGAAATGTCCTCTTTGTTCATACGTTCATCTGGCTACCATTTGGCTATTGTATATGGTTAGAATGCCATGCATAGATGCTCTGATTAATATTGTAATTAAACAAATTAATGCAGTAGTGACTTCTACAAATATATCCACATATACTTGAAAGAAGCTCTTATTTCGCGTGTGCTCTGCAAAATGCAACAAGGGTCACCCATAAAGAAAATCTTTACATCTGGAAGATGGAAGCTTATATTTACCTTCGGGGTGATGGCAGTATCAAACTTATTTGCCTGGTGTTGCCTTTCCCTTTTACCACCGTTTTTCCCATTGGAGGTAAGACTGATTTTTTAATTCTACTGTGAAACGTCCATTAGAGAACTAGGCAAAACGCCTATTTTAAGACTCTTGTGTACAGATATTCTTAGAATTGTTGTAACAATATGTGTGTACAATAAACGTTCATGCTACAAAAAGTAAAGGAACCTCGGTCATCGGGGCATCGGCGCCTCACTTTAAATTTGTTGGTATTCCAGGCCTACAAAACAAAGCAACAAAACCCTTTCCGTATCCAGTAGAAAGCTCTGCATAAAGCAGTGTCGATTTACAATTCGGACTATATCATGAGCATGTGTTTATGAATCACTATCAAAATAGTAATGTGGTCACAAACACACGCAAAAACTAGCACTATTGAACAACCAAACTATGGAATATGTCCACACTTGCAGTAGAAATAGCCACACACATTAAATAGGTCTTCAGCAACCCATGCTTGTCGTAAAAGGCGACTAACGGGATCGGGTGGTCAGGCTCGCTGACTTGGTTGATACATGTCATCGACCCCAATTGCGTGGATCGATGCTCATGATGTCTATCTCTGGATTGTCTGGTCCAGACTCGATTATTTTACAGACCGCCGTCATATAGCTGGAATATTGCTGAGTGCGGCTTTAAACAACAAACCAACCAACCAACCAACCAACATTACAAATTAGACACAATTTCAATAATGTTTGCATCGTTATGATAAAAACCCGCCACATTTTCAATGGAGACCGTAATAACCCGAGTGCGCCCGCATTCAATTTGTTGCGGTCTGCAAGATTTACTGTGTTTGGTTCCATTGATGTGACCCGTCAACAAATTTGCTTTTCACAGTTAAAATACTTCAACGATTTACTCTGTGTTTGAAGTGACTCGGTCCAACGCGTGTGGCAAATCCTACTCGTGGGATTGTATGCATGAAATAGACGGGATGCACGTTTTGTTTGTTGTTTAACGCCGCACCCTTCAATATTCCAGCTATATGACGGCGGTCTGTAAATAATCGAGTCTGAACCAGACAATCCAGTGATTGACATCATGCGCATCGATCCACACAATTGGAATACGATGATTTGCATTAACCATGTCAGCGAGCCTGACCAAGAGATCCGGTTAGTCGCCTCTTTCGACAAGCATAATCGCCTTTTACGACAAGAATAGGTTGCTGAAGACCTACCCCGGATCTTCCCGGGCCCGAGGAATCAAGTGTCATTTCAGCGTCTTCATGTGTATTCATGACAAAGTGTTTGTACATGTGATCATCATGTATAATTCTGAAAATATCAATCATATTTTACTGTGATTTGTATGGTGCACATGGATGTTATTTCGACGACTATACTCCAGAGTAGTTGTTTAGTCTGGAACGATATATGCTCGAAATGAAGTATAGCTGTCCAAAGTCACATACTTTATCATATAATTATGTGTTTGTTTCCCTGTCTGGTGCTCGGCATTAAGGGGCTAAAACAAGGACTACTCAGCTAGAAGTCAGTATACTGTGTCTGATAAATTGCGGCATGGTATCTCAGTGGGCTGGCACTATAATATCGGCATGGACACCAAGGATGTGAAATTATTACATGTGGCAGATTCCGACGGGCTAGGATCAGGCAGTGGGCGTCTTAATAATGTGGTTGGACTGGAAGCATTTTTAGAACGCAAAAAGTGCATTGTACGGATCAAGAACAAAGATCGATCCTGTTTGGCAAGGGCCATTGTTATGGCACAACATTATGCACAGAAGACCGACCCCACGACCCAAGAATGGTCATGCAAGAGAGTGAGACTGATGAGAACAACGGGGCAAGCCGACGTTCAAGGAAAACTGGCACAGGCAATTTTTCGGCGCCTTGGCATCCCTGAAGGCCGCTGTCAGGGCCTTGACACCCTAGAACGTGTGGGATGTGCCTTGGCCCAAAGGAACTATCAGCTGAAAGTCTAAAGTCAAGAAATGTTCAACAGACTGTTGTACAAGAGTGATGAGGCGCCATCCGGCGCCACCGTGTTGCATTTATACCATCATCATGACCACTTTGATGTGATCACTGCCATGCGATCCTTTTGAGGATCTAACCATTTCTGTGAGCGCCAACCCTGCACCAAGCAATACTGCTGCCATGCATGCCACCACCCCACACCTTGTTGACCCAAGGAACATCATGGGATGACTTACTTGTCATCAAAAATGGTTCCGAAATCAGCGCTGTAACACCCGTCATGTCCAGTCACCCCCAGGGGGAGGACCCAGTGAAGCCTGTGATGATGATGATGATGATGATGATGATGATGATGATGCACCTGCATCTGGTTAAAACCCCAGACGTGATCCTGAGAGGGTAACAGATTTTACAGATGACAGTGTGTTTCAAAGTCAGTTTGAATTTCCTGACCATGCCGCTGAAAGCATTTCCAGAGACCTTTGCACTGACTGAACTGAAGAAAGGGTATTTTCCTCACATTTTCAATGCCCAGGCCAACCAGAACTACAGACGTCCCTATCCGCCAGCAGCCATGTCCGATCCTGAAGGCATGTCTCCCAAGAAAGTTCAAGAAGGAGCCTTGTTTGACTTGCAAGAAGAACTCTAAACCTACTGTCAGAGTGATGTCGATATTTTGAGGCATGGATGTGCTTCCTTCAGACAGTTCTTCATGGAGCAGTGGGATGTGGATCCCTTTGCAGAGGCAGTGACACTCCCTTCGGCATGCGCGAAAACCTACAATAAACTCTTTCTGAAACCCCAAACCATTGTCATCCTCCAACCTCAAGGCTACCGACCCGAGAGAGGCTATTCCCTGGCCTATTTGCACTGGTTATGCTATCTCATGAAGACCACTCCGGATCTGCACATACAGCATGCCAGAAATGGGGGTGAAGTGACTTTCACGTGTGCATAGGGTAGATATCATTACAGTGTGGATGGATACGATCCTGCGACAGGCACCATCTTTGAATTCTTGGGCTGTTTCTGGCATGGGTGCCCCACCCGTTACAAGACCGAATGTGGAGCACCTCATCCCGTCCTAGGCATGTCTATGAGTGCACACTATGGCCACACCTAGTATCGCCTGTCCCTCTTGAACCAACACCCTGATGTGAAACGTATCGTCACCTTGTTGGAATGCGACTTTAAAGCCCAGCAACGGACAGATCCACCTTTCAGTGCTTCCTTGCATGGAGCACACTGTGACGACTTACGTGACCCTAGTGAGGCCTTCTATGGTGGACGAACCAATGCCACCCAATATTACTACAAGGCCCAAGAAGGTGAAACCATCCGGTATGTCGATGTCTGTTTGCTTTATCCCTAAATTTGCAAGTACGGTACCTTTCCGACAGTACACCCTACCCTCCGCGACCATCCTCCTGTGGAGACCTTGTTTGATCTGCACGGCCTTATCCAATGCAGTGTCCTACTCACGGACGAAGAGAGGGCCTGGGTGGGCACGTACACAACCCTAGAAGTCCAAGAAGCCGTGAAGCAGTGTGGCTACAAAGTGATTCAGAAGTATGAAGCTTGGCATTTCGACACCTTTGACCCGTATGACCCTGAGACCCAGGAAGGGGGACTCTTTTCCCGTTATGTTGACCATTTTTCCAAGTTGAAGACCAAAGCCAGCAGATACCCCGAGGGTTGTACCGATCCCGATGCTTACATCGAAGACATCGTCCTGAACAAGGCCAACATCAAGAAGAACCCAGGACTTCGCACTCTTGGCAAGGACTGTCTTATTTCGCAATGGGGCAAGTTTGGTCAGTGCTTAGGCTATGGTCAGACAACATATATCAGTGATCCTGCCAAGTATTTTGCTCTGTTGAGAGATGAAAGAAATACAATCAACGATGTCATTGTCATCAACGAACATATAGTATTGGTGAACTCTACCCCCAAGAAAGAATTCCACACGCCACATCCTAATTCCAATGTCGCCGTGGCTGCTTGGGTCACCACAAAAGCGCGTCTCAAGTTGTACAGCATCCTCAAGCAGCTGGATAGCAGGGTCTTGTACTTCGACACGGACAGTGTCATTTAAGTCCATCGCACAGAGGAATGGAATCCACCCTTGGGGGATACGTTGGGTGATTTAACAGATGAGCTAGGCGGAAACACCATCAAGACGTTTGTGTCAGGGGGTCCCAAAAACTATGCCTATGAGTTCATGCACCCAAGACCCGATGGAACGCGCAGCATGTCCTGCAATGTGCGCGGTTTCACCTTAAATTACAGAGCCCGTCCACACCTCAACTTTGACACCATGAAAGACCTGATTGTTGGACAACGGTCTGGAGATGATATCATCAGGGTGCGACACCCGCATCGGAACATATGTGAAGGACTTCACCAAGGGAACTATCTTCTGACCCAAGCCACCACAAAGACTACCGCATCGTCTACACCAAGGGACGCATCCTCTACAGTACAAACACAGGTCTGCCTGTAGACACGGTCCCCTTTGGGTACAGAGACTAGACATTTTTTTTATGATGTTCCTAACGTTGTGTTGGCTGTTGGCGTTTTATCTTGAAGACAGACGCGTTCGGAAAGAGTACCATGCACTGTTCACTTCCATCTGTGAAGCCATGGATGAAAAATAACGGTCCGAAAGTGGATCGAAATCTGACCAATCAGAAGCTAGGGTTTTCGACCAATCAGAGGCCGCACACGCCCTGTGCGGGTCTCTGATTGGTCGAAAAGTAGGTTGTGCTTTCTCACCCATGGAACAGGCCTGTGAAAGTGAATCGGCAACAGCATGTCCAAACTTATGAATGCCAAGACATGGGTGGTAAAGGGAGTGGTGAAGGGGGGGTGAAGGGAGCGGTGAAATGACCGCTGAACTGTGGGGTGAAGTGTACGAGGTGATGTGTGCGAAGATAAGGGTCGACGACGTGTACGCCAAGTTACGTGCGAAGGCCGACGAAGTGATATGCGACATGATACGTTCGAAGATAAGGAAACAGACTGAACCCAAGACAGTAGAACCAAAAAAGAAGATAAAGAAGACCCAGAAGAAAACAAACAAGCAACAGCAGCAGCAGCAGCAGCAACAACAACAGCAGCAGCAGACTACAAAACAAAAGTGACAGAATTTTTTAAACCTACTACACCTACAAAAAGGCGGCCACAGAAGTTGTCTCTGAAGATCCCTCATCAAGAACAATTGTAAGTACCATGCTATTCTTTGGGATGTGTATGCCGTTATTATCATGAGTATCAAGAATGTATGACTATGATCATGGGTATACTTAAGGGCTCTTTTCTTGTTGGATTGACAGGACACCCATCCTTCCCCCGATGTCAGTTCAACGCAGACCGTGTTGGAACAGTGGTGGGAACAAACCCCTCGGAAACCCACCTATTCGCCTAATCTGCCTGTGATGATGATCACTGACGATGATAATGAAGCACACAAGTTGGCAGCACTCCCTTCCATGGAGCTGGACAGTGGTGGGAACAAATCCCTCGGAAACCAACCCATTCGCCTAATCCGCCTGTGATGATGATCAGTGACGATGATAATGAAGCACACAAGTTGGCAGCACTCCCTTCCATGGAGCTGTACACACCCACCCTGTTTGATGCTTCTTGGTCACCATCATCACCGGAGGATGTCTTCTCCACAGGTATGCCAGTGGTTTGCGACGATGACAATGAGGACGATCCTTATGGAGAAGCTCAACTCACTTCCAAACAGTGTGAATGCCGACACAACAACATGTTGAAATACATAAGCTGCAACAGTGGTCAAGTGATGTGTCATGTCTGTTTTAGGGAGGCCATAGTCTACCTGTTTTACTGAGGGGTCCCAAACATTGTTGTGACCTGTTTCGGACAGTATGATGAAGGACCACATCTTATGGTGACCCCATCTTCACTCGAAGAGCTTGAAGAGTGAAGATGGAAGATGAAAGGTTTTCGCGTTCTTTGAGGGACATTTGAAACACTCCCTCCTCAGTTGTCTTTCGTATTTCCTATGTATCTGGATTGATGTTGTTGTTCATCCTTAAACAGTGATTGATTGAACTGACTCTTTGTCTCTTGATTTATCTCACCCTACGCCACCCTTTTATGATGTTCATTGCTTAAACACAGGATCAGGAAAAGGTTCCTTTGTGAAATCATGTATGGAGCAGATGCATCGCCCCGAGGTGTTGGATACGCCACCCCATTGCATCGTGTGGGTGTACAGTGAATGGCAACCGCTTCATCATGAGTTGGAAGAGATGGCAGACCGCTTTGGGGTCATTCTTGAGTTTGTGCAGAGCATGAAAGAAGTGGATCGTGCCTTGCCAGAAAAAGGGGAGGCCCCGCATTGGCTCCTCATCGATGATTTGCTGATGATTTGCTGATGATTTGAAACCCAGCAAATTTGCAAGACCATCGAGTACGTGCCCACCTGTTTTTGAGATCAGAGATGTCCATCGTGTATGTGTCGATCCTATGAGATGAGGAGAGACTTCATAAAAGCATGCGAACTCACTGACCTTCATTCAGTGGAGCCACAGCCATCATGGGGCAAAGACGTTCTGTGAATGCCATGCCACCATCCCAAGATGTCCCCGATACCGAGTGGGTGTCTGAAAAGGTTAGAGAACAAGCGAGAAAAACACACTCTTTATGGATGACGCGTGTCACCTCGATGACATTCTGGAGGCACGACCTTCTCCATCTTACACCTTGAGTCATCCTGGCTATGATTCATTTCAACAACATCTGAGGTCTTCTAAACGTGGCCTTAACAGATGGTCCAGACCCCTTATGACATGGCCATGGCGGGCTATTTCTATCATGGTCGAGGTGATCATGTTATCTGTTATTGCTGCGGTGTGACACTCTGCCAATTTGGAAACCACAGACAAACCCTGGAAAGAACATCTGAAGCACGCCCAAGTCCCCTGTGAATAAAAACAGGCGCCTGTTGTCCGAAGAAGCATGGAAGAGAAGAGCCGAGAGTCTTGTTCACTCCTAGTGACAAAGTTTCCTGTTCACAAAAATCACAGGGACGCCCCTCATCCTGTGGCTTTTGTTTTGTTGGTTCCTCCTCCTCCCTCCCTCCCTCCTCCAACACAACCACCGCCGCCACTTTGTTTTCGCTTTTTTTAATGAAAGTGGAGGATTTTACGTGCGCTTCTGTTCCTTTCATTTTACGAGCGCTTCTTATTTCTTATGCGCACGCATGACCCAGCATGCCCCTCTTTGCCAATCCAAGATGGCGGCACTTCCGGTAGGGGAGATAATTCCTGCTGGCTTTGTTACCAGAGTCGGCTCTCTACTACTTACGTCATAAATCACAACAAAGAACGATGATTGCTTTATTTCACGATAAAACATTGTTCTATCATCACGTCATTCTAGAGATTCGAAAACGTCGTAAATTGAACGACGTTAATTTTTAGAGGGTAGAGAGTTGTTCCTCGTATGTGTAGCAGATAAACGCAATGGCCGAACGATCGCATCCAAAAGTGGGTGAGATATGGCAATCTGTATTGGGAGCAATGTGCAGAATAAATACGGGTAAATATTTTTAAAGCTTGTAAATAGTATTAACGTCCTCGTGGACGCTGTCAATAACAGTGATATCTCATATGAGAAATATACAACACCCCATCATCGTTTATTTTCTTAAATATTATCACAGATTGTAAATCTTTTTTCTTGTCATTTTATTCAGTCCATACAAGAGCATGTTCATAGACGTACTCTACAACAAATACAAGGAGTCTGTTTTTCTATCTTCAACACAAAAGTTTAAAACAATGGAAAATTACTTGTATGCGTCAGTTACATCCATGATCTTCAAGTAATGGTTCGCTGGTCAGTACAAGAGCCTTGATGTCTGCATGCCACTCATGCTTGCATTTCTCTGTAACTATAAGCATAACTTTGATCTTCTATGATTGCAGAAACATCTTGAAATGCAATTGATGTTTCAGAAATGATATGTTCATTTTGCTCACGATTTCAGAATGATGAAAGTACTGGCTGTACTATATTTTATATTTATGAACAGGCGCAGAAAAAAGGAGCAAGCTGGACAATCATAGGCCTTATAAGTTCCTGTTCTGAACTGGTCATCTTCCTTGTGTCGCCGCTGTTCGGACGTTTGGTAACATGCCCCAGTCATAATTTATTCGATCCGGGGTAGAATAGGTCTTCAGCAAACCGTGCTTGCCGTAAAAGGCGACTATGCTTCTGGTAAATGGCGACAAACGGGATCGGGTGGTCGGGCTCGCTGACTTGGTTGATGCATGTCATCGATCCCAATTGTGTGGATCAATGTTCATGATGTAAATCACTGGATTGTCTGGTCCAGACTCTATTATTTACAAACCGCCGTCATATAGCTGGAATATTGCTGAGTGCGGCGTTACACAACAAACCAAACCAAAACCATAATTTATTATGTACACAGTGTATGCCTTCCACGCAACTCGCAGAGCGAGCGTTGTAACGCCGATTCCAGCAGTATTAAGTAATATCACGATATATCATCTTGATGTTGGAAGATCCAGGTCTTTACAACAACAACAGCAAAGGCATGGTTGCGACAAACCTAGTAACCTTTTCAGGGCGAATATGGGATTCGAACCCACGATTAAAAGGTTTTTGAGACGTAATTCGGCATAAATAATCATAATCAGTTGTTCTATTTTTTTAGTTCTGATACAATGACGTTTTTTAGGCATGATTCCTACAATAGCTTACCACAGGTGAACACTCTTCCCTTCACGGCGCTCGACTGTTTCATGGAATCACTCATTTATTTGAAACAGGTGTTGTTTTTCCTATTGTGTTGTAAATATCGCCAGCGGTCGGAAGCCACGCCATTCACAAGTGTAGGTATTTATCCGATTCCGATTGAAAACTGTTTGACCAAGAATTTTCAAACGTCATGAAAAATGGTGAAATCATATCGGACATTTGTGGTATATATGGTAAAAGCGTGTACCGTGCGACGTCTCGTGCGCTATGGGAATTATGTACATGATCTCCATGTTAGTTTACACGTCCTCTGACTTAAAAGTTGTTCGTTGAGTGCAAATGATTGGCCTTGGGTTTTATCACCGCTCTAAAATCAATTCAGTCATATCACAACACATGTAATTTACATGTTTGACACAGTGTGTGGTTGCTATCCTCCAGTATTCGCAAACATTACCATACAATAACCCTTACTTGAAATAGTTTAAATGTATGTACAGTAGTTTAACTGTCCATCTCACATTTACTTCAGATGTCTGCCTCTTGCCCTCGATACTTCTACATCTCTGGATTGTGCATAGTCGGCATCTGCATCATATTGTTTGGGTAGGAGCACTATGTCTTTTTTAACCGACAACCCCTACACCTTTGGAAACTCATATATTATGATTATACTGTGGCGTTGTTATCATAAGCAGAATATTTCAATAAATAAACCATTAACATTATCATCGTACATCCCTGCTGAAGGCAGAGTCCAGTGCATGATTCCGACTGTATCAAAAGCATGTGTTTAAGAATCACTAGTAGTAAGTAGTAAATAGAAGTAGTAATGAATGAAACGAGTGGTCAAAGATAAGGTGAGCGTATCTTGCGTACCGGTTTTACCCATCACAAACACATGCAAAGACAATTTTTCACCTAAAAGAAAACACGGGATCATATGGTTCAAATCTAAATTTGGAATTGCATCGGACATCATTTTTGTCAAATTTGGAAATGTCCAACAAAGCTTTTGATGCCCTGAATGTTGTGACGCTGATCAAACAACTATTGAACAAGAGTCCTATAACGCTCTTTGAAATCGCCAATTGTGATTATAAATCATTTTGTTCGACAAATAAGCAATTCACACTGCTTAGAAATAATTGTTTTTACCTTAGGAAGTCTCGTATTTTCTGCAATTTAAGTGCAGTGAGACCTGATCAACACATGATGATCTGTCCATCAACAATGCATCCCAATTCACAAGTGCAAAGCAATTTAGCACTGTGTGATAAATAGAATTAATACACAATACAAGCCACAAATGAAACTTTCGTCGACATAGCAATTACCAAAAGGTTAATGTTCTGAACATTTCGCATCAATCTGTTGTTCTAATATAAGGCACAACTTTTTAGGTGGATAAACCATGCGCCAGATGGAATTCCGTTCATTGCCATCTGTTTCGCAGTGAGGGTTCTTGAGGCATTTGGAACAGCGTCTCTTCTCACGGCCAGCTTCGCCATCGCCACCATTAACTTCCCCGACAACGTGGGGACAATCTATGTACGTAAATGTATGAAAGATGATATAGCTAAAGTTTTAGTCTAATGAAGTAAATGTTCTTGATAATGCGTTGACAAGATTTAAGTATAACTCTTGTTAATCTTAGGGTATCTTGGAGACAGTGACGGGGTGTGGATTCATGCTGGGCCCGGCTATAGGAGGAGGACTCTATCAGGTGCCGATGGATTCACCCTAAGGCCGTATCTTTATGCCTTACTGGCTTGAGTTTGACAGAAAACATTTACACATGAAGACATGCAGTTAGGTTGAATACTTGTTTGTCCTGTCTATATGTCCACTTAAGTGGACTCTTACGATAAAGAGTGAATACTGAAGACCAAGTTAATTAGCTTCGGAATTCCCAACGGAGTATTTCTCAGACTAACAGTACATGTTTCAGCTTGGAGGGTACAGTCTCCCCTTTTGTGTACTTGGTGGATGTGCCTTTGCTTGTGGGGCTGTCTCATTGGCTCTCGTGCCATCCCAAAAGTGTGAGTTTTAAGAAATGTATTTCTACAGCTAAGGATGACCAATAATCAAACCATAACTTGTTGACATTACCGGTTTCGGTCTAACTATGTGTTTTATATGTATTGAGATCATTACTTTTTTTTATGAATAACAATTTACCAGAAAACACGTCCCATTTTAATTCTGGAAATCCATTTGTCAAGAAACTCTACGATCTTTGCCCAGTCTCGGTCAAATGTATTTACAAAATTAAACATGTTACTTTTCATGGGAACATACTAAGGAAGAAAAATGAAAAACAAGTTGTTCAAAAACTAAATATTTACATATTGTTCAGCATGTTCAATTTTGTAAATACCTTTGACAGAGACTGGCCGAGGCATGGAGAGTTTCTGGACAAATGGGTTTCCAAAATTTAAATGGGTTGTGTTAAAATATATAATTCCCAGATGAAGTGACAGAAGACAAAGGTAAATGTCTGTCCATCATGACGTTACTCCGAAGTCCCCTGGTATGGTTTGGGGGTTTTGGTATTGAAAGTGCTCTCATCTGTTTCACCGTTTGGAACCCTGTCTTTGCTGATCATCTTACCCAGGTTCGTACATGTAGACGTCCCAACGCTCCAACACCAAGCTGAAACGCCGTGAAATAAATGAAATATTCTTCAAGGCCAACTAACTCAGCTCAACTTAGTTGAGTAGTATTAGAAGTATTTTATTAATCTAACATTCAAGCGATAAGGTTAGAAGACTGATCTACTGATGTTTATATGTATGTGCTTTCTAATGTATTTTGGTGAGGGTAAAATATGCATGACATATTTACATTCGCCGTGTCTTTAAGAATAACACGATGTCTGATTGTAGCTACATATGTGACAAACAAACACCTGGGTATTTTCTTGTCAGCTGGTAGGAATAGGTGGTCCAACGGTCTAAAGTGTCATTACGCTGACCGAATCTACGGGTTGTTGGTTCGATTCCCATATTCGATCCAATTGTGACCATTTGGTATGTCATCACCATACCCATGCCCGTGGATTTCAGCAAACTTGTAAACCGTGTTCCTTTGGGCTTTACTCACACATTAAGTAGACACATCATGATATATTCACAATGAGGTCAAAAGCCATGCTAAACCCAACTCAGTGACTCTGCAACAGCGTTTTGCCTGCTTGAGGTATGCACTTGTACATGCTGTTTCGGACCTGTGAATATCCGGGACAGAATAGGTCTTCAGCAGCCAATGATTGCCATAAAAGGCGACTATGCCTGTCGTAAGAGGCGAGTAAAGGGATCGGGTTGTCAGGCTTGCTGACTTGGTTGATGCATGTCATCGTATCCCAAATGCGTGGATTGATGCTAATGATGTCAATCACAGGATTGTCTGGTGCAGACTAATTACAGACCCGCGTCATAAAGCTGGAATATTGCAGGGTGCGGCGTTAAATAAGAAACAAACATACATGCTCTTTCTGCACGTGTGCACAACTGCGCGCACATTGTCTCCACAATGATGTTTCACTTTTTCAGTTCAAGCTCAGCCATGGTGTCATCGCTCTGATCTTTATTATTTGTCCAGCAATCTATTCGTTCACAACGCCTTTTTGGGGATTGCTGCTTGATAAAAAAGTAAGTTTTATTCAACATGTCCTACATTAAAGTATAAACCATGAATTATATGTAGTTATGTGATCTTACGTAGTCTGGGCGTATTCCTGTTACCAATGTTGCATAAACTATGTGTCTGTCCGATCGATTTTGTTTTCATATTATGTCATTCTGTTTAAAATACGAAAACCTCTATACTCTGTACGTATTTTCTATTAGAGAGTTGCCTCTATTAGCAGGTACCGGTAATTCCTTTGATGTTGGCGGGTCTGACTTGTAGCGGAATTACATTGCTGTTCTTTGGACCTGCACCTTTTATTCCAACTGTTACTCCGTAAGTACAATCACAAACTGGAAACTATTTTAGAAACCACCTAAGGTTATAAACTCAGAGTAACATTCATTTGTAAAGTGTAGCTTAAGTTTTTAAAAAGGTAAAACTCCTTGTCAATGTTCGGAACGATATTTATGTTTATTCCAACATAAGTTATGCTGAATAATGCTCATTTTGTAATATGACCAAATTGTTTCAGATCCTTCTGGCTGACCATCACAACCCAGGCGTGCCTTGCCTTATCCTTGGGGCCAGTTATCGTTAGTTCTATGAAGTGCATCGTTATTGGCGCCAGGTGAGTGTTGTGGATCATTAGATAATGAAAATCCTGTGCACATGTCCTTTGCATATATTATGTAACATATCAGATGTGATTTGTATCAACATTTCATCTAATCAGTTGTACACTTCCCACTCTCTACTTCAGCTTTTCACAGAGATAAATGAGTTGGCATGATCATAAGAAAAGAATGCTAATACAGCCATATAATACGTTCCAACAAAGACTGTCCGAAATGTCACGCTATCATACTATAATGTACTAGAAATTGATGAGTAAAGGTTGAAAGATTTATCGTTCTTGACTATATTCATGCAATATAACAATATCTTACAATATAAGTTGCACGTGACCAGGTATTCATTTGCACACGCATAGGTGTTCAATTGTTGAAGGGTAAACTCACCTGCCAGTGTGTCAAATAGTTTCTAACCTTGACCTTATTGCATTGTACACTTCGGCTGCGCGGCTTTAGCGTACATTTTGGACGTATTCGATTGTTTATCTAACTTCAACATCACGTCGCGAGTGGGCTTCTTACTCAGAGTGGACTTCTTACCCGGATCGTCGTGATGGACCAACGCTTTTATCACTTGTCAACCCCTCCGCCCTAATTAGACACATCATGTCTTCCGATTTATTTCAGGGAGTTGGGCTTTAAAGATGACCGTAAACAAGCCAGTATTGTCTCGGGCATTGTGTGTTCTGCCACCAGTTTAGGGTGAGAGATATTCATATCCATCATCAGCAATGTGTAAGGTTAATGATATGGTTTGATCACAATGGTCTTACCACACTGCGTGTGAGCAGCACTGTAAATCCAAAACACACTACACGAGCGTCATCGGTCAAAAAATGTGAATTACATTTATAATTGGTCAACACATATTGACTCAAATGCACCTTCCCCCAACAGGTTCCCATCTGCCTCAGATACTTGCAACTTAAGAAGTATACTCAGTATCGTGTAAATGATGTACTAGTATTATACTCTTCTATCTATGTCTTATCCGACGTGTTTCAGTACGTTCTGTGGTCCGTTGCTTGGCGGGGTGCTGACTGAATATTTTGGATACGAATACGCAATGGCACTAAGCACTATCTGGATCATGGCGCCCGTGAGGATACATTTTTATATGTTGCTATTTTAAAACGCTTACATGTATGCATTTCCTTGTTGATTGTTTCTCATGAAAGATTATGCAATCTAATTTGTTTTTTCTCAAGTTTCTCAGTACCCAATGATTGTTTTTACAATGTCCATGCTATCAATCACTTGTTTGCCTATCAGAGATTTGATTTGTGAAGACTGTCGGAAAATAGCTGGAGTATTGTGTATAACAATATTCACTCACTATGCAAAATCATATTTCAATTCATCCTTTCCTTGTAATAATATTACTTTGGGGTCTTCTTATAGGTGTGTCCAAAAAGCAGTTTATTGGTTGAAAGTTCATAAGTGTCTGATGAATATATTCTACAATATACACAAAAGAAAAATTGTTTGCGACGTGGATTGAAAAGGACAGAACATACCCAACCAACCAAATGTCACTGGTATTACATGCTTTTACAAGAAATAATGGATATCTGAGAGAAACTTACTTCAAACGTTATTAGAAGCAGGTATTTAATCGTATACAATCGTAAATTTGCAATCTTCAGAAGTTCCGAGCTCGGTAATGACAACACGTTTTATCGTTTTGATGAGACTACACCATGCTACACATAAGTGAAAATATCTCATGGCAAGCCTTAGGAATGCTTGAATCTACAACACCGTAAGAGACCATCCCCGTTACAACCCCAGACGTAACAAACCCTCGCCAAGACATATGAATTCGAACCATGCATCTTCGGCATATGTGCCATACAGCAACTTTCACATCCCGTACCATCTCCGAGTCGTATCTGCAGTCAGACTGAGTCATCTGCAGCACCTCTATGAGGCGCCCAGCCAAACGGCAGGACATCAATGCGACATGCCCAATGCTGCTGACAAAACTTGCTGTGGAGAAGAAGGGCTCTCTTCACCGAAGAGTCACACTTCAACGATCCGATGGCAGGACAGGTGATGTTTGGGAGGAAATGGGAGGAAAGCCTCCAACAACTCCGGATTACTCTTCCTCAAATAAGGAATGCCATTGCCCAGTCTTTTCCTCGGCGCTTAGTGGCGTCTGTGGGGCCGAACGTATCAGACCTGCATCATTGCACAAGGTGGACACACTCGTTACTACCTGTGTGAACTTGCCTCCGAAAAACTTCGTGCTGGAATATTGCTAAAAGCGGTGTAGAACCATACCCACTCACTCTTCGTATGCTTTCTTGTGATCCATCAACGGCAGTAAACTGTTTTGACAGATTCACTTTGCGTTTTATAGCCACATAACATTTGCAGCTAATGCCAGAACATTTATGTCACCGACATCTTCTGACTGGCATTTAGCGATATGTTTACTGACTGACTTAAAAAATGTTTCATGTTTTCTAGATTTGTTCGTTGAAATCAGTAATGTGTTCTTCAGATGATGTTATTGACTAAAGGAACATGCAAAATACAAATTATCAATCAACCGTCAAATGAACCTCGGTTTGCTCATTCACAGCCATGATCCATCATGTCTTCTTCATTGATATCGGGGCGATCGAGTAGCCTAGTGGTTGAAACGTTCGCTCGTCACGCCGATGACCCGGGTTCGATTCCCGATGTGGGTACACTGTGTGAAGTCCATTTCTGGTATCCCCCGCTGTCATTTTGATGGAATATTGCAAAAAGCGGCGTAAAACCATACTCACTCACTCTTCTTTGATAAATGTTGCTTTGTTATTTCAGGTAATTTGCTTTAGTCCATATCTATGTATCAGAGGCTGAAAAGGTCGTTCGACTATAACTGGCAAGGAAGAAGACGTAGACGACGGGAGAGATGCCTAACCCCGCATAGAACTAATTACAATAGGAACCCCTTTATAGCCATTCCGACAAAGTCGTACCACAAAGATTGAAACTAACTCATTCCAGTATCGGGAGATGGGACGTCACATTTGCTGACATATTTGCTTAATTATTACTGTTAGTCAAATCTTATTTAAGCATATACCATTAGTTTGTATATTTATTATGTTTTATTATGAATTGTAATAATTATTTCATTTGTTCGCAATTTACGCATTTACGTTTTTACACTTATCCGTATAGTGTATTAATTTAAATGTCTTACACAGGACTTGTATTCAAACCAATAATGATCACAAGGTAGAGACATGGGTGTCAACTTTTTTATGAGGAACACAAAGATTCGGAGGTAGATGAAGGAGTAAGTATATACTCCGAAACGTTGTGTTCCTCCTTATAAAGAAGTTGACATCCATAGATTCCCTTCCTCGTGTGTATCACTCCTAAATGCCATTCAAAGACTTAATCATGATCCTGAAATAAACTCACCAAGGCCACTCTTCAGATCTATTTTCTTCAAAATGTTCATACCTTGATCTACGAACATATTTTGCTAATTTTCGCACTGTTGTGTTGTATTAATGTAACACTGTGTATGAATAATATGGCAGCAATATTTTGGTGTATCGGTTAACCGTTGCTTTTTCATTTCCCAACATTTCTGTCATGCCTAAACATCTAATAAAACTATGAAGGCCATTCTTTGTTCTCTCCGTCGTGATACTGTAAATCTTGAAATTAACGCGAGCGCGAATTAAATGCGAAAAATGCGAGTGGTCTTTGCTCGCATTTTTAAACATCGCATTTATATCAACAATAAGACATTGTTGGATAGCAAAAATACCAACTCAGACATACGCTGATGTATTCCACACCACTGTTTATTGAGCAGCGCTTGCATATAAAGTATATAAACAATGTCATTCAAACACTAATTACGTCCTGTGAATTGTCACTGCTGGGGTCAAGACAAGAGTTCTACTCACTTATGTCATCACTGATCACACCTGCAAGTCCAGACAGACGCGACATTGCGACTGCGTCAAAGGCCGACATGTCTTCATTATGCTATACATAGACCTGAATCACACTCACTCCCGACATAGTCAGGCGACTATTCAGGTATGTATATATAAACACATATCCGCAGTTAAAACTACCACCATTTGCCGTACAGTTCACTACATGTGGCTGTATGGCTATCAATGTGTACGTCCACGTTGCACGGACACGTGTATTGAAACATATTGACCGAATTAATCCATTTGCTTATTGGTCAAGTTATGATGTGTTTTAGCATACTGTTTGAGTAATACTACACCATGATTTGTAATCAGTAGTATAGATACTGAAGTTCGCATCTATTAGATGATATCCTTACGTTAGGGTGAGTGAGTGATTTTGGTTTAACGCCGCTTTTAACAGTATTCCAGTGATATCACTGCGTGTCCGCTTAATGTGGGAGGAAAGCCCGAAGGGGTGCAGGTCTCAGACGTTTACCACTTCGGGGAAACCCACGACCACGGGTATGGTGCTGACAAACCTAGAAACATAATTCGAACTAATCGAACTAATCATAGGTTTCTGGCGTACCCAAGGGACGCAACTCTGCACAGCAAATCGCGGCGCCTTAGACGACAGGGCCACCCGTGCCCCCAACCCAAAATGGTTCAGGGAAAGCTGGTCTGAGTTTACTATCTCGTTTTAGGTATATAAAAACTAAGAATAACCAAGTAACCAGATGTAAGGGAGAGTCTTTGCTTAAACTTGCAGTGTTTTTTTTTTAAAACTACACTGTCCGAAACTTTCAGACGTTTGCCTCCTTTCATTGATGTTTGACTTCCTTATTCCTGAATGGTGTCAGCATTGATCATGACAATCATACTAACCGGTGTATTGGGTACTATGAGTCATATCCCAAAATTGTGGAGTGCTGATATTTATTATTACTAAGAACACTCCATTAATGTTTTGCAAATACGAATATAATATATTTTCTCAGGCGCTATATTTCAGAGCAATTTCTTGGTAAATTGATACATTAGTCTATGTTTCGAGTGAAACCGAGCACATATCAGGATGAGGCGAATAGCCTGATACATACAAAAACACATACATGTAGCATGCATTACACTCTTTATTGAGTAAAGAAGTAAAACAACCGAGTTGGCATGATATCTGACCGAGGTATTCAACATAGTATCATATCACACAACCCAAATTGGCTGCAGTCGTGATCCTTATACACGCGTTGTAAGATATCAGAAGTACAGAAGTCTTTTTCTTTGGTCCTGAGGCATTTACAAAATTTAACATGTTTTCATTGGTACATACTAAGGAGGGCCAAATGAAAGCTCAAAATGTCAACCATGTAATTGTTACTCATGGTTTAACAAGGTCTCTTTCGTTCTCAAAACTACAATATAACTACAATAACCACAATAAGTGAAATACATTTCTGATAATTTCGACAGTAGTATATGTAAACCTCATTATATGTGATGAAAATATGTTAGTAGTGCACAATGTATGACTTGGCTTGTGAAGAACGGGCAAAACAATGTGTATCTATTATGTACAATTGTCAGATTCAGAAACTCGTGTTATTGTTTCCATGCCATTTAGTAATAAAGTCTGATGTGTCCTGTAGTGAAAGCATAACCAAAGGGACATCACCTAGAAAATAGAATTCAGGAAAAACATGAGAGTAGAAAAGAAGGTGTCCCATGACGAAGTTGCTCGAATCGCCAAGGTCAATCCTTCACCCTTCTATGCATCTGCTGTGACTAGCCATGTTTCTCCATGAGTAAACAAGACAACAGCAGTTGTTAACACAAGTGAAGCGAAACCACCTCTGTACCAAATGCTCTCCTAGGTTGTTTCTGGCAAATACTCTGTACATGGTTTAAATGTAGACGAAGCACGATCAACTAAATCAGCATCAACTCATACTATTCCTTTGGCTCAAACTCCGTTTCTAAGTACATGTAGCTCCCATCAAAGTTTCATTCCGGTTGTTTCAACAGAACTAGCAAAAGGTGAGGTGAATTGGGGTTTAACGGCGCGTCCCAGATTATTGCACTTGTATAGCGACGCGCATGTGTGTGTGTGTGTGTGTGTGTGTGTGTGTGTGTGTGTGTGTGCTTGTACTAGTCCGGACTCATGCCGATTTATAGTGCTAGCCCACTGAGATACCGTGTGTGTGTGTGTGTGTGTGTGTGTGCTTGTACTAGTCCGGACTGATGCCGATTTATAGTGCTAGCCCACTGAGATACCATGCCGCAACTTAACCCAATACCCCACTCAGACACAGTATACTGACTTCAAGCCGACCGACCTAGTGCCGAGCACCAGACAGGGTAACAACTAGCAAAGAAGAGCAAATAGATCAAATGGTATCTGCTGCAAAAAGTAATTTATTGTTTTGATGTGTCAAGAGATATCTTGAATAATGTATATTTTGATAAGGAATAATGGAAAAAGCTTTCGGTTTCCTTACCATTTGGTACTGCGAATACTCAAAGTCTTGTGGCCCAGGGATATAACCTTAAACATTAATGATTAGACTAGTTTACGTCATGACAAAATAATTAGTAATCCAAATGTAGAAACTACCCGTCGAGGAGGTTGCTCTATCTTTATTATGTATATTTAAAGGAACACATATTTCCAAGAACAGTTTTTGAAGTAATGCGGTAGAAATATATTATTGTCATAAAAGGAAAATCATAGTCATTAATATATACAACACTGGAAAACCAAGTGTGAATGATTACACGAAATTGTTGAAGCATCTGATGGTCCATACTTCATTTGTGGTGATTCCAACAGACAAAATGAATTATGGGGCAGTGATCAACCAGATTTCAGCGGAACAGTCCTTGAAGCTTTTTTGGATGAAGCTGATCTAGTTATCCTGAATAACGGAAAAATTACCAGAATGGATCATAGAAGATGGACCTTTTCTCCTTTAGAGCTATCTATAATGGTTTCCTCTTCATTGGGAAATAAGTGCAACTGGGAGGATGTTCTCGGCAGTGATCATTTGCCAGTGTTGGCAGATATTCAGGTGAGTCCACTAAGGTCATGTAATGATCATGAACCTAGATGGAAGTTTAAAAAGGTGAATTAGGCTGAATGTTCCTCTCTGTGTAATGAACATATATCACTCTTGACTTGATCAATGATGATATTGATACCTCCAAAGGAAATATTACCAAACAGATTGTTGCAATAATGGAGGAATCCATGTCGTCTGTGAATGCATCAAATAAACAGCAAGCCTTAGTGGAAAAAAGCCAATAGGACAAGGAGAAACGCTTACAATAAGGTAGATATACCTCAGTCCCATGTGATTTGACTGTGTCCAGGAAAAAACGTGCAGAGTTTCAACACATTGTTAGGAGTACAAAACTTTCAAGTTGGCGTATGTTCATCACTTCAATGAATAGGATTGCCCCATTTAAGTCCATTTCGTCCAGAGTAAAGATGATTTGTGGTACAAATAGAAGATGTCCTATTCCTGCTATGGGCATAACTGGCAACACAGTGACGAATAGTCGAAAACTGAAAGGTTGGTAGAACAGTTCTGAAAACGTCTGAAAACAGCCTTGAAAGATGTTATGGAATCATACGAAACACACTTTATGATAGATATTTCATCGACTATGGTTGATGTTAATTCAGATTAACACATGATGAGCTGACGGGGGCAATTTCTAAAGCTCTCAACTCATCTCCTGGGGCAGATAACTTGTGTTATGAAATGTTTAAGAATATGCCTGATACTTCTCTTGAAGTGATTCGCGAGCTTTTGAATATGTACTTGCATAAAATGATTCTTGATCTATGCCAAAGGCTTTGAGACACGCCTTAATTTTACCTGTAGCTAAACCAGGTAAAGACACCTCATTACCAGCATCCTTAAGGCTAATTTCCCTTACCTCTAATTTATGTAAAATTATGGAAAGAATAGTTACTAACCGCTTCACGTATTATTTTGAGAAACAATAGTACTTATCCCGAATTCAATGAAGGTTTGAAAACGTCGCTCATGAACTGATCAGCATGTAAGACTACAGACAGGAGCTCAGGAAGTAATTTGCAATCAGGACCACATGATGTGCGTATTCCTTGATATTGAAAATGGTTTAAGATATGATTTGGCGATATGGGTTACATTTGAAACTGCAAAAGCTTTGTATAAAAGGTAGCATATGTTTAGATGGATACATCCACTTCACGGGAAGTTGTGGTACTGTATTCTTAAGGTGCTCCCTGTTTTGCAACAGCACTCACTCACTCTGAAACGTCGCCGATAAGCCTAGAATCGTTTAATATGTTTTGGAAAATACGCAAACACGAACGCCGAAGTCTTCGTTCCGCCATATAGGATTGTGTTTTTTAAATCACATTTAACTCAGCTGTGACACATGCATCCATGAATTCCTTATACATTTTGGAATCAAATGACAAATGATCTTTGTCACCAATGCAAATTATCTAGATGAAATCAAGCGAAATAAATTAGGTGTGAAAAGTTGCAACGAACACTAGGCTCGCAAAACTGTACTTGTTGAAATGCAAACAAAGTAAAATTCAGATTTTACACTGATTTTACATCGTAGCACGAATTATAGAATAACAAATACATACATTACAATAATCCGGTTACTTACATGACACGTTTATGTATTTATGATCTCTCAATAAAGAAAAATCCTCCTCTGGAAATCCCGCATACTGTTGTCAGCGAACAAGCTATTTTGTAAAGGTCGGTCACCATATGCATTAGTGATGTCATACGGAAGTAAACGTTGCTGTACATATTTGGTAATTTGTTTGAGGTTCAAACCTTTTACTC